AGAGAGAGAAGCAGCCAACAAATAGCTCCACGTGCGCGAGTGTGCAATAACATTCACATCACAATTCACAATTACACTTTCACGTGCAATAAAACTCTCAATAGGTGTTTTAGGGTTTAGCGCATCACAGCGCGGTAGTGGTAACTTTCTCAAGGATAACCACCCCATGGTTCAGGACTGAAGCTACAAAAAATATATCTAATCACAATACTTTCCTGATGATTCAGAAAAAACTTGGATGGGGGAGCCCTTGAGAGCCTCCTGTAGAGGGGATATTAGTCCTACTGGCTAGGTATCTCGATAACAGTGGACGTACGCACACACTTCACCCCACCAGACGCAAGCTGCTGATCAATGAATTTATGAAGCCATCGTCACTGGTTTCTTTCCCCCATCGTTTCAACTCCCGAGGCCGGGGAGATGGAATCGGGAAAAAAATAAACTTATAAACGTTTTTTTTTATTTTACCAGGTTTAGGCCCACCGAGCTATAGAGCTTGGTTTCAGAAGCGACCTGGCCACAAATGATAACCCAACGAAGTGGCTTATCACGTGGAAATATATAGCAGCCAAACACTCTGAACGTGTGTCGACTCTAAATGTGGAGGGGAAAAACCGGAGGACCCAAAGTTAAATCCACGCGACCATAGGGAAAGAGTGCGACATGCAAACTCCAAATATACAGGCATCAGGGTCGGAATAGAACTCACGATCTCCTGTATAACAGGCGAGATAGTTACCATCTCACCACTGTGGCGTCTTATGACGGATTTCCAAAGTATATTGCATCTCCATGGCCTGATGTGAATATCAGTTAAGTCGGTGTATGATGTACCGTCAACCATCATCAATGAGCAAACATCATCATCATCAGCATCATCGCCGTCGTTAGAGTTAATGTTCTGCAAGGCAGGTGAAGAAAGGGCTCGTAACATTTTGCGTTTGCACTCTTGAGAGACTTGCGAGGGTAATTACCATCTCGCCACCGTGGAGGCGCCCTCTGAATTGCAAGTTCAGTGCGCTAATCAGGATCGAGTTCAGTGCGCTTAACCGCGACAACCACAGCAGTATCCACTTCATCAAGAATGGCAACACAACTTTACATTCGGTATATCTCATTGGCAGCCAAGGGATGGAATGCGTCCCAGAGGACGTCCGTGCGCCGAGGAGATGGAGCGATGAAAGCAGTTTGTGTGCACGTGCCACGTGGGGGGGGGGTTATGACGCTGCAGGATATTGAGAGGTGGGGGCTCTTCATCTAGCGGTGGATTGACCATGGCTGCCGATGATGAACATCAGCCCACCCAGTCAATTACACGTGCCTAATCCCAATCACATAGCCAAGTGTAATATTATTAATATCAGCACAGTAAAGCTGGTCACATCAGAATCAGAAATATTCAATTATACTGGAGGAGTCCGATGAGCTATGAAGCTCTTTTTCACAATGTCCAGTAGAGGCCAAATCAGAGCATTGCAACAAACAGTACCAAAAAAACATGATAGAAGGGCAAAGTACAAGAAAAAAAACCACATGTCGCAGCCTATACTGTCTCGGCGAGTGAGTCACAACCACGTCACAGCCTAAAACACAATCACGTCACAGTCTAAAACAACCACGTCACAGTCTAAAACAACCACGTCATAGCCAATCCGCTTGTCCGAACAGTATCAGCCATCTATTCTCACGCGTAACCTGTCCCCGTCCGTGTTTCATTCATTGATTACATAAGCCCTCTCTCTCTCTCTTCATTAAGCGACTGTACATAATCCGTAATGCGTGAATGGCGGGGAGTGCGAATTACGTCGGGGGTCAAATAACACTTGCTCAAACTATTACAACAACTGCGCTACCGGAGAGTACTGCGACCTGGTTTGGGCCAAGACAAAAACAACATTCCATAAACATATCGAGTGCAGTCGTGCACGAATGATATTTACCCAAACGGAGGTTTTACACGGGTCTCTGGGTTCGTTCGGCAGTCCGAATGGGCTCGGCGCAGTTAGCGTCTCAGCCTTTCGCGTACGGTGGGATAAAGTATCAAAAGTACTCTCTCGCCTCCTCTACGGAGCAATGCGAAAAATACCCTCCAGGGTTTTTGGTCCACGTCGATTCGTCCGCAGTGTGGTGTCGTGGCAGAGCCGCATCTCTACCAAGCTTCAAGCCAACGGAATCAAATGGCATAATCATCGTCACCACCAACTAGCATATGTTTCGCAAGCCTGGATCTGCTGAGGAGACCCACAAGGTCAAAAACCGGTCCAGAGTTTGCTGATATCTCCTTATACACATAATGCTGAATATCAACGCAAGATGAGTTTATGTACCCATCATGTTAGGTCGATATTAAACTATTTAATTCATTGCTCTAGCCAGGTTTAATTGCACCCACGTGAAATTAATTGTAAGACCGGTTGCTCGTGACAAATATATTAGGTCAGAAAATAACCCAGCTTAACATATAAATGTTGTTGACATATCTACGTAAAAAGCATGACGTCAGCAACACTTTTCACGGCCAAAAAAAATAATAACAGATTATTATGCCGTTGTCAGTGTAAACATGTCAAAGAATAAACTCGCCAAAAGTTGCTGTGCAAGCCAAAAAGTTACGACACCGTCTAACAGCAACGTGTGGTTGCTGCTTGGTGTCCAAGGTTGCTGCTGTTGCTGCTATATGAAAAACGTGGTTCTTGTTTGTGTGGTTTGTTGCTGGACGGTATTACCTTCAAAGTTATTGCGGGATGTAAATTATTGCTGTGATATGGAACGTGAAGTTGCGGCTCTGATGTGTTAAGGTCAAGGGTTGGGGTTTTTTCCGTTGCTGTGATACGCAAATGCCAAAAAAAAATCAGGTGTTTGTTGCACTGCACCACGGTTAGACGTCGTCGTAGTATGCGAACAGTGGTTAAGGGTGTGTTAAAAACACGTCACGTTAATTTTGTTTAACCAGATGAGAACTCCAAGAGACCAGGGTAGATAGAGAGCATCTCATTTACAAAAAAAAGTGACCTGGGTCAGCAAAAAGACATCGATGTGTGTCATGTGCCATCCTATTGTTGATGTGATCTGCAAAAGGTGGTTGTTGTTGTTGCTGCTGCTGTATTAAGTCCACCGTTATCGCTGTGATGTGCAGCACGTGCCCGTTTGTGCCGAATATTAAGCCGAGGCGTGCTGCTGTATTGTCAACGAATCAGAATCTCGATCTATCCTGGAGAAATCCGATGAGCTACGAAGCTCTTTGTCACAGGTGCCTGACCGGTAACGATGACAGCGGCAAACAGCAAACGGCAGCCGACTCTGCCCTCTGTCTGCCTGCCGCTGCGTGATGCACCCCCCCCCCCCCCCCCCCCGTGTTAGTAGTATTCTACTGCGTAGCGTTTTCACCCACCTAGGTGGACCCAACCCACACGCCCATTACAATGTTATACAGCCATCCGGAGCCTCTAGAGAGCTACTCACCGCATGTGTGCGTCTGCCACGACCCGCCTGACAGGGGGAAGGGGGGTGTCGCATCGGCTGGCGCGCTGCACTACGAACCAGCCGCCCGCCAGTTCGATTCCCGCTCGCGGCCAACACCGGTGACGATTCTTTTCACAGGCCCTGGGCCTCCCCGCTAAGTCAATTCAGCCTCAAAATTAGTAGCCGATGGGGAAGACAAAGGCGGCCGGGCGTAGTGTTGGCCACCCACCCACTCGTGTGGCGTTCCGGCACCTTCATAATGCGCTCGCTGACAGCACTTGCCCCAACAGCCTGCCAAAGGCTATACACGCGGGACCTTTGTCAACCCGCCTGAGTTTGATTCCTACCCATGGACACGGATCTCCCCCCCCCCCACCGCACCCCGCAACATCACAACAGCGAGTGCGGGCAAGACTTAGGTGGACTCGGCTTGAACAACAACAACAAAATGCGCAACATTTTGGTTGCAGCGATGCGGTCGAAATGCAAAACGCGTACGAGAAAAACAAAGGCGGTCGGGCGTGGGTGGGGTTGTCCCGGCAACACCACCTTCTGACCATATACACATTTTTAAATAGATTTGCCCATGGGGAGTGGGGGGGGCGAGCATCTCGCTCATAGAAGCACAGTCAATGATTTATACGATGGCACGGCGCAGAGTCCAACTTGACATCCCCACGTGTGGGGTTTGACGCGCGCGTGACGGCGCCAATGATTTACATAGCGCGGAGCAACAACAAAAAATCCATTAGCAATGCAAGAATTCACGCATCTAAAAAAAAACACACACGTTATAACGCAGCTGCTACAAAACATGACATAGGGAATACCTGTTCCACACGCATGACAGTGGCCGACTTAGCGCAACAGCTTGCGGGCGAATTAATAATTATTTTACGGTTCACAATTTTTTTGTTTTTTTAAACTTGCTAATTGTGCGGCAACTTTCACAACGCGGCACTTTGTGTGGCGCGTGAACATTTTCAAACTCGGCAAATTTCTCCTCCAAGAAGATCATATGTATATATTTTTTTTAACGAAACTTTAAGCGTGTTATCGTTTGACAGCTGAGCGCCAAAGTCTTCAGCAGAGAAGCGAATGGCAGGCAGTGGATTATACAAATTGTGTACTGTATTGATCCGCACAGTCAACACGGCGAACGCTGCCTATGATTTGACTAGACAAACAAGACCTCATCGGTAACTTGATATAAACACACACACACAGCGCGGCTTATACACTACATTATCAATAACGTGGTCATGATGTCCTAAACGATCACGGCGTTCTTGACGACGGCGATTGCGAGCGATGTGATAAGTGACGGTAAGCAGTCGTTGCATTTATATTGCGTCGAGAACGAATGGAAACGTCTCGACATGTGATGATGGTACCGATGATGACAGTTGGTGGTGGTGGTGATGATGATGATGGTGGTGATGTCCTTATGCGACGGTGCCTATATGTCGATGATGCCGAAATGTTAATGTGGTCGATCGGTCGGGTGGTGGGTTTGGAGGTGGTGTTGATTAACTCACGGGGTACGCTGGAGCTCGCGAGGATGAGCCCGATGGTGGTGGTGGTGGGGGTTGGTAATGATTCTACTCCGGCATTGGCGAGACGGAAACTTTGACGTCTGTCCCCTTGAATCTTCTAACTCATTCTCAACTCAAGCCAACGCGCGCTCCAGTCTTGCCCCCCCCCCCCCCCACACACAACCCTCGGCTGCCCCCCCCCCCCGCCTCTCCTTTGCCTTCCTCGTCGTATCGACCCTTGTGTCTCGTCGTTTGTCCCGTCAACCTCGTCTACCTCGTCTATCTGCTCCGTCCGCTTGTCCTCTGCTGCGTCTCTCGGGCGAAGTCCACGCGACTTGTGATCGCGGTGGGCAGGGTGACGGTGCCTTTTATACCGCTAGCCCAACCCTGCACGCGCGAGTGGAGGCGTGCCTCGCGGAGGCGGTTCCACCAATCGCGATTAATGGGTGTTGCCGCTCGGTTTGGGCGGTGTCCAATGAGAGCTGTAGATTGATAAAGGAAACGCCTCCACCCCCACCTTCCCCCTAGCTCCGCCCACAGAATACGCCCCACCCCCCACGGAGCTGGACCACGCCTCTCCCCCAATGACGCACTTAATGATTGAGTCACAGATGAAGACGCGGTCTCAAGCTTAGAAGTCTCCACATTATTAACTCATTAACTTCAAACTATACTTTTATTTTATTTCACCAGGTAAGGCCCCCACCTGAGCTATGTAGCGCATTTTCGGCAGCGACCTGGCTTTCGCAAATGATACATCAACGAAGTGGCTTATTATCACGTGTAAATGTATACCAGCCAAATACCCTCAACGCACGTGGCGAGGAAAACCAGAGGACCCGGATTCAAAAAAACCTCACGCGGCCACGGGGAGAGAGCGAGAGAGATAGAGTAACGCAAAACTCTAAATATACAGCAAGCGCCAGGGTTGGGATCGAACCCACGTGGGCCTCCTGCATACCCAGCGAGGTAGTTAACATCCTCGCCACCGTGACGCCTGACTATGATGGATTTCCGAAGTATATTGCATCTCACTGGCCTGATGTGAATATCAGTTAAAATCGGTGTACGATGTACCGTCACGATCATCAATCAGCAAACATCAGCATCATCGCCGTCATTACAGTTAATGATGTTCTGCAAGCAGGCGAAAGGGCTTGTAAAATATTTCGTGTTGCACTCTTGACAGACTTGCTCATCCATCGCCGGGATCAGCCATGGTCAATCCACTGCTGGATGAAGGTCTCCTGGAAGCTGGCGCAACCTCTCACGACCCTGCGGTGTCATGATTAATTCACCGCGCACCTGTACAAGAGCTGACGTCAATTGAAATGAGTACAGTATATAGCAATTACTTTATTGTTATGTGTGTATGTTGAACTTCGTTCGCACCCTACGTATCTAACCGTGCGGTGTTATTGTACACCACGGGCGGTGGCGGCAGGGTGACAGTGTAGAGCGGTGGCGCAGTAGCTAGCGCACTGCGCTATAAATCGGATGATCAGAGTTCTATTCGCGGTCACGCCTAAATGGGGACAAGGGCTTTTAACTCGCAGTGAGCAGCGCGCTGAAGCCAGATCGAACAACATCCAGAAACTACTCATACAGCAGTGGATTGATAACGGGCTTTGAATCCTCAACTTCATAATTGCAGCATTTAAATTGCGCTTTAATTTACAAATTTGACTTTCTGGGTCAAAGCACAAAAGTGTCACGAATAATTGTTGGGCAATTATGTCACTACCTCCAATCTCAACGTACACATATAGTTATTATTCGAAATAATTGTGGTCACAAAACTGAAATTGCCGGTTGCTTACAGAAGACACAGAACCGCGTCCTATCACTGTGCAATCTGGCTCTGTGACAACTAAGCTACAGTGCAAGGCTGCCAATCCAGCCCATGAATATTTCAATGCCCTGGGGGTGGCTTTTTGCGAAATCGAGTCACCTCCAACTCCTCCTCCTAGTGTCTCACCGCTCAATCTTGCAGTATCATCTAAGCCCGTGGTGAAGATTACAGCTCCTCGGCTCTCCGACGACTACAGTACTTACTTACATAATCAATCACACTACCGATTACCGGTTCGATTTCCCGACAAAATCGCATCACACGAATGTTAAGACAAAAAAAAACGCGTTTTCACTTCCCTCCCGACCCCAACGCGACCATCAGCCACGTCACGCTGGGGAGTGGGTTTTATAGGGGTTTCTCACCTTCGGGATACATGATGTGGAGAATACCGCCGTCGTTATACGGGGTCCGCCGAATTAGTCGATGATAATGTCCAGTCGATTAGTAGACAATCTTTCTCGGCGTTCCTTTAAACAATACAGTTACTGTATAACGTGGCTTTATGAAGAAAAGTGTCTAAGCGGTGTCGCTGCGTAACGGTGGTTCTGTGAAACTGCCGAACCTGAGATCGATACCTGACCACGGCGAACACCTCACCAGCGCGGTGACATATGGTCAAGCAACCTCGATGAACGAGCGACACGGCGTGTGGACTCCTTCATCCTGCAATGGACTGACGGCGGGATGGAATCACGTTTTTATTATTATTACCGTGTAATCAGTATTATTAAAGCGTCTAAATATAAATTAGGAAAGTGCAATTGAGCAATGTTCTCAAATATAAGCAACGTCATGACCACGAATGCGTGACACATTGAGAGCTGACATTCAACGCCTAAATTAAATTTTTCATCTCAAATTCACATATATATGGCGGACTTCCAATGCCAAGCGTCATGGACACGAAATATATAGGTCGACGTCTCAGAGAGAAAGAGAGGGACAGCAGAAAGATTGACTTATATTGTAGATTACATTTCACACCGTGGGACTTTAAAATAACTGGGAACTGTAATCATTACAAAAAAAAACCCGCAGTGTGATTACAGTAGACTTCTAGAAGAGCCTCTGGCCATATCACCGATGCTGGCAAATCTCGGAGGATAAGCCGAAGAGATGAGCTTGGCGAGTGCTTCGATGGGCGACCACTCTGCACAACAGGTTGTTATAGGCTGCTTCAGGGGGGCTACGTGGAGTGGAGGAGAGGACAGTTGAGCGACATACATTATTGTACTATACTCCTATGCCCCCTACGCCGATGCTCATCGCCTACCGCAAACCCGTATTGACCAGAGTGGTGGAATATAGTAAACACAAACCTCGAAAGCCTCCACGGCGTGGAGAGGCACTCATCCAGCAGTAGATTAACAAGACGCATTATACGCGTGCATTTCTAGAATGACCGCTCCGCAGTCACGACCCTCATAAAACATCCCGGGCCTCTATTGTTGCACATCTGAAATATGCCACTCGATATGTCATCCTCTCGTTCAGCACACGGAATGTCCGTGGAGCTTCTAGAATGTCCCATCAATGCTCGGAATTTCGTTCTCGTTCTAGAATTCCTATTCCACACATGGGCGGTTGACTCGACATATTGTAAGCGATCTTGCAGTGTCTGGAAAGATCACGGCCGCATCTAAAACGCGTGGTTATCGCAACTACGCTAACATCGGTGGTGAGCGATATCCGGGATCGGTCCTTGGACCTCCTCAAATGCCCACAAATCACAAACTCGCCCAGACCACCGCGGCGAAGTATGATCTGACGCGACGTGGGGAAGCCTTCATTTAGCAGTGGATTGACCATGAATGTCGCTCATGATGATGGTGTTTCGTTCCAACTCGCGTTCTATTAAAGGGAACATTCATGCTGCTGTTGTTGTTGTTTGATGTGCAGCATGACAACACGGTAATTACGCGTAACGCCTCATGCCATTCTATACCCCTAACCGTCCACATTTCTAATTTACGCTATACTTTCATTACATGCCAACACTGACTCAGAATTGATCGTTTGCTGCGTCCGTGTGTAATTATACTGCACACCGCGGGCACAATGTGGTCCAGAGCTCAATTACATCCCGAACTGTGCGAGGCTGAGCTCCGGAAAATTATTCAACTCCCCCCCCGCCCCCCGCCACGGCCTTCGGGAGCTGGTCGCGAAGCCCCCCAAGTCGATTTCGTCCGAAGTTTTCGCCTTGAAACAATCCACCGCTGGATGAACGCCGCCTCCGCCGCCTGTCTTCTTCATCATCATCCGACATTAATATCCTCATGTAAGGACTGTATGCTGAACTTCTTTCGCACCGTACGTAGCCAACCGTGCTCATCGGAGGTGCGGAGTAAGGACAGCAAACTAACACGCACAAAAAAAACCAGTTCACACGGCACCTGTGCACGAGCTGATTTTATTGCTCCATCTCCTCGGAAGATAAACTCTTTCTTCTTGATTTGAAGCTTTCGTGACTGCAGGAATTCATACTCTTTGGTTCTTTCAGTAAAGTCACGTAGATAGAAAATAAAAAATAAAATTATAATAATATATCACGACGTTTCGATCGCAACAAACGTCGTGATCTTTTGTATTATTATCTATCTACGTGACTTTAACGAAAGAACCAAAGAGTATAAACTCTTTCTTGTTCGTGAAAACCAACAAATTGGGAACACTGTCAAGACGTTCGTGGTTCAGACACTTCATTATCGAGATATGGCAGTCAGTAATGATGTAGAGCATCTCACCAATCCACTGCTGGATGGAGGCCATCCCCGCGCCGTGTGTGGGTTTGTTTGACTTTCGTCAACCGTGCTACTCAGTGTGGACTTTGATATGCTCATTCATTCGCCACTGATGTCATCCGTGGCCGGTTATCGAAATAGGTTAAGTGCGCAACGCAGCTAGCCACGGCTCCACCACTCTCTCTCGCTCTCAGTTGTGAATTCGTCGATTGGTTGACATCGACTAAGGAGAAAATCCCACTCGATTTCTGAAGTCGATTAACAACAATAATAATCGCAGTGGTATTGGTGTTTGTGGCACAGTACACGGGGAGTTGCATCAGCATCAAATTTCCATTTGTTCAATAAATGAAGAACTCCTCAAGACTCAATCGACCCGGAATGGGCCCAATTCCATCAAATCTCGAAAGCTCAGTCAAGTTTCGAGTCTGGACAGTGCAGCATAAAGGAACGGGTGGGTGAGAGCACGATCAAGTGGATTAGCAGGTCACGTGTGGTGGGGTAAAGCGTGGGTCCCTCCACATGTTCCGAGAGGGTTTGAACATCGTTGTAAGAGTAATGGAAAATACCTTCCAATAGGGGCTCTCTCTTTGAGCTCCCTCTATCTCGAGCGGACGCCCTTCAGTCAGCGGTGGCACGAGCTAAGCAGTTGCAGGGGCTGCACTTTTACCCCCTTACCACGTTGACTTTAACCTTACCGAACAATAACAAAGCACGTGGGTTATGATGGGGTGGATCCGCGTTAGTGGTTGGGATAGGGGCCGGCTCGA